TACAAGTATCGGGTTTCTAGATGTTGCTTATCTAAGCCATGACTAGTTCTTGAACAAGGAGTTGAAAAGATGTTTTTTGGGAATATTTACATATGACCTTAAACATTTTGTCTTTTCATGAATATGATTCTGGTGTAGTATGTTTGCCTCCATCTTCTGTATATATATATAATGATTTCATGTAAACTGAAATTGTGTGCTCTTAACGTATTATAAATTTTACTAGAGTAGTGGTGTCCCATTTGTTGTATCTCTTTGACTTGGTAAATAACTTAAATATGATGTTTGACAACATGATTCAGGGAGATATCCTTTACCTTTTCTATGAGACAAAGAATTCAATTACAATGCAAGGTGATATTGGAGTTTCTCGAAGTACTGATAAGGGAGCAACGTGGCAGCAGTTGGGTATCGCCCTCGATGAAGACTGGCATCTATCTTATCCATACGTCTTTGACTACGATGGCAATGTAAGATATCAATTCATTGAACAGTGAAGAAACAAAGGAAACCCAAATTTCCAGAATCTAAAAATATTCTACTCTAGTTGTACATTTTGGTTAATTTTAATGTAATCCCAATAATTTAATTTATTGATTGACTCACTATTGTCATTGTCCTAATTTTTGGTTTTTTGCAGATATATATGATGCCCGAAGGCAGTCAGAAAGGGGATCTTCGTCTCTATCGAGCTATTGACTTTCCTCTAAAATGGACTCTGGATAAGATAATAATTAAAAGGCCTCTGGTTGATTCTTTTATCATTCCTCACGAGGGAAAATTCTGGCTCTTTGGGTCAGACCATAGTGGTATTGGCACCCAAAAAAATGGACAGCTGGAAATCTGGTATAGTAGCTCGCCTCGGGGTCCTTGGAAACCCCATAATAAGAACCCTATACATAACACAGACAAGAGCATGGGTGCTCGGAATGGTGGCAGGCCATTTGTTTATGATGGAAATCTTTACCGCGTTGGTCAAGACTGTGGTGAGACTTACGGGCGGCGTGTACGTGTCTTCCGAGTGGAAGTTCTTACCACTGACGAGTTCAAAGAAGTTGAAGTTCCCTCTGGTATTGAAGAATCGAGTAAGGGACGGAATGCTTGGAATGGGAGCTGCTACCATCACCTTGATGTACAGCAGCTAAGTTCTGGTGAATGGATTGCTGTTTTGGATGGGGACAGAGTGCCGTCTGGAGATGCAAATCGTCGTCTTATTCTCGGGTTTGTTTCTGTTCTAGCCGTTGCTGTGCTTGTTGTACTTGTGGGCATGCTAGTTGGGGCCGTGAGGTGCATAGTACCCTTAAGCTGGTGCCCACATGACATGGGAAAGAGAAGTGACGCTTTCTTGGGATTGGAGAGGTCAAATTTGCTGTCTTCCAAGCTTAGACTTGTTTGCAGTCGGTTGAACAGAATGAGCTGGATTCTTCGTGACAGAATAAGACCAAACACGTGCACCGGAATTTTTGTCCTTGCTTTAACAGTTTTGGTGGCTGTCGTGTTAACCTGTGGTGGCATTACATATATATACGGTGGTAGTGGTGCACAAGAACCTTACCTGCTCAATGGTCACTACTCGAAGTTCACTTTATTAACAATGACATATGATGCTCGGCTTTGGAACTTGAAAATGTATGTGAAGCATTATTCGAGGTGTTCCTCGGTGCACGAGATAGTTATTGTGTGGAACAAAGGAATACCTCCAAAATCAAGTGATTTCGACTCGGCGGTGCCAGTAAGGATAAGAGTCGAAAAACAGAATTCGCTGAACAATCGATTTAAGATGGATTCATCTATAAAAACTCGAGCAGTCCTTGAGCTCGATGATGATATTATGATGACTTGTGATGACATTGAACGTGGCTTCAGGGTATGGCGTGAGCATCCAGATCGGATTGTTGGGTTTTATCCTCGGCTCATAAATGGTAATCCCTTGAGGTACAGAGGAGAAAAACACGCTCGTAAACACGATGGTTATAACATGATATTGACGGGTGCTGCTTTCGTCGACAGTCAGGCGGCTTTCAAGAGGTATTGGAGCAAGGAAGCCGAGGTGGGCAGGGCTTTAGTCGACAGTTATTTTAATTGCGAGGATGTGCTTATGAACTACTTGTATGCGAATGCAAGTTCTTCGCCGGTAGTTGAGTATGTGAAACCAGCATGGGCACTTGATACATCAAAATTCTCCGGCGTTGCAATTAGCAGGAATACACAAGCTCATTATGGGGTCAGAAGCAGTTGCCTGAGGAAGTTTTCGGATATTTATGGGAGTTTAACACTTCGAAAGTCCGAGTTTAGCAAGCGGAAGGATGGTTGGGATCTATAGCAATGAAATCCAACATCCAGTTAAATATAATACCTGCTTTTCTAGTTTCTTGATTTCTCTTTTTTCTTCGTGTAATTTTGTTTATACAACTTGTGCTACCTGCTGTTAATTTTGCTTTGGTGGGATTTCTGTGATCCCCAGTTTTGATCAGTTAAACATTGGTTCAGATGAGAATTGTATACTATTATAGTCCTTTTTCCTGGGAATTATATGCCGTCTTTGTATAATTGTATAGTTGTAATAAGATGGTTTCTATTTTAACTTATTTTCAACGGTTTCGTTTGGGAAAATTTCCTTCTTGACTCATGTCCAGGTCGTCTCGGACCTCGTTGGACGGGCTGGTCAGTCGATCGGTTGGAGAAAATATGTTGCCCCCAATATGTGATGTTTCTTTTTCATCCATTCTTCAAAACTCTGGTTGAATTGACGGCGGTGTTTTAACCGTTACAAACAACCTTTCCTTTGTGTACGATCGCTAAAACTTTGTTATAGTAAATCTTAGTTAGTACTCTTCATGTGTCTTCATCCTTGTTCGTAAGTTACTATATTGATCACGTGTAAGAAATATTTTTTTGAAAAATTACTTTAGTATCATCTTAACAGTGTGGAAAAAGAATAAAAAATTTAAGGATTTTTTTTTTTTTGGGGAATGACATTACATTCTAAATAAGACAATCTCTCTCGTTCTAAAATAAGAACAAAGAAAACTTACAAATATACAGTACACTTTGAAGTAGTTCTAAGTAGTCATTAAATGAACATAATATCGTAAAGCTGCGTACTTTCAAGGCTTTCACAAGAATGATGACAAAATTTAATAGTTCATGGTCCATGACTTGTAACGTATCAATCTCGTGATAAAAATGATTATTTCAATAAAAGCAGTAGTTTGAATTTATATTTTGGAATTTTCCTACAATTTGTTGCATAGAGACGAATCCCTGTTTCGGAATTATGGTTTTGAAAATGGAGAGCACTACACATACAGGCTGAGAGTTTACATATTTTCTACAAACACTCACAAACAGGGGTGGGTGGGTGTTTTTGAAGGTAAATTTCTCTCATCGTGTTAGTAATCTGTAAAATTCCTGTGAAATCCCAACCTGTACATATAGCTTTAATCTTTGAAAATTACTAGCTTGATTGGTACTTGCACAATATATAGAATATTAAAATTTTGTTAATTGAAGTGTCGAATCTTGTCTAATAATTTTTACTGAACATGCCAATGATGGAATAATCGAAAAATTCATGAAAAGTTGACTCTATGGACTTGAGGTAATTACTTAAGGGTGTCGCCAGTGATATTTTATAATTAAAGTTTGTTGTTGTACTAAAAAGCTACATTCATACCATTATTCTTCTTTTCGATTGCCATTTGAATTCTTCGTAACATGTGAGTCTATGAGACTCTATTTGGCTCGTACGTCGTATCATACTTCTCCTTAAAGTAAGAGAAAAATTAAAGAAATTATAATATAGTATTTTGAGTCACGTCACACAAACCTCATCAAACTTTAAAATGTTACGGAACATCGTTCAACTTTATCAAAATGTTTTTAATCCATTACTAAATTGAAGAATTGGACATCAATTTATATCACTTGTGAATTCCGTGTGCATGCGAAAGAACATAATTCTAACAAGTGAAGAGTGCTAGATATTTTGACAAAGTTCAAATCATATTGCAGGAATAATTAAAATTCCAATAAGATTTCAAAATTAAATTATTTTTGGAACAATTAACTCAAATGTTGAACCCCAATTTTTTGTATTATGCTACTCAAACAAGGGCTTTTGACAGGTTCCTGATAGGGGCTGAGGTGGTGCCATTTGAAACTCATCAGCTCCTATCACATGCCCCTGTTCAAGTAGTAGGGTCTCTCTAAGGCATCGTTTGATAGGCCAAAATTTTCTAGGGAAAATTGAAAATCAATTTCAACTTTGAGTTTTAATGGTGTTTGATACCATTTTTTTTTTTTTATGAAATTACATTTTCTAACTTTTCTTGAGAATTGAAGTTTTTTTTTTTGTTTTGAGAATTGGTTTTCCCACTTTTCTTTAGCCCCTTTTTTTTTTTTTTTTTTAAATTTTTGGTTTGCAGTGGAAACAAATTCTAAAATTTATTGTAAAAAAATATTTCTTTTTAATTGACAATTTCTATGTAAACAAAGCTAAACGAACACCCGAATATAGATGATTTTCTTGATTTTTTTTTTAGTTTTGGGTTTTGGCAATGGAATGAAATTTCATTCCCAATGCCAATAAATTCTATCCCTTTAATTGACAGTTTTCATGTAAAATAAAGCCAAATGGACACAAAAAAACACTTTAATTTAAACATTTTCACGTGAAAAATTATACCAATCAAACACAATAATTTACAATTCTCAGGAAAATAATTTTCCATCAATTCAATTCTTTTGAATTTGTTTTATTTCCATTCAAATTATATTTTTGCAATCAAACGGACTCTAAAATAAATTATACCAATCCAATGCCTGAATCTCTGTGATGCCACTCTGTCCCACTTCCAAATCCCATAGATAACATCGCCCTCTTCACTGCCCCTTTGTAGGGCCCTTTATGTAATTTCATATCACAAATAGATTATTGAAAACAAAAATGGAACAAAATTACAACAATAATAGTAATAGCATATATGAATAAAATGAAGAATACAAAAGAAATTATACCATTCTACCCATCATTCTTTCCCATGTGATCTTCAATCCCCAAATACACATAACACCTTCCCATTCATCCCCCTGTATCGTTTTTCTTATTTTAGTTTTTTGGGACCTTGAAAAAATCATAAAGATTGGACCTTTTCAGATAAACATATGTATTTTCATACACACAGAAGAAAAGTATACACAGTCACACATACATACAAATATTCTAAGAAACCATTCACTTTTTTCGGGTTTCTATGAAATGGGGTGGTTGCTTTATGAGAGAAAGAAGGAGAGATAGAAGATATATAAAGAGAATCTGATCTGATGTGAGATGGGTTTTTTCCTTCTGTAATTGTTTCTGTTATTCAACGGTCTTCACTTTTCCTCTCATTGAAGGCTGTGAAAAAAAATAAAAACCTAATTCTTGTTCCAAGATTTTCTTTTTCCCTTGAGAGAAATCTGAATGCCCTATCTTTAAAGGGGAAAACTGTGCATATATAGAATGTATAGATACAGTGCATGTAATATAGATACATGCATGTAGGGGTGGTGAGGGAAAATAATGTTGGCATTGGTGGGTGAATAGGGAGTAGCGGCGAATAAAATGGAGAATGAATTTGAATCAAAGCTGAGGATTGAAAATAAAAGTTCAGTATCAAATAATAACCAAAGTCCTCAGAGATCTAAGAGCTTTGCATTTAGAGCACCCCAGGAAAATTTCAGCATCCAAGACTTTCAATTGGGCAAAATTTATGGTGTTGGTTCTTACTCCAAGGTTCAATCTTTTCCTTGCTGTAATTTTATGTTTGCCTTTGATGTCCTCCGTGTGTATCTGTAAAATGATCTGCTTAGATTCATTTTATGAGCCATTCATGATTTTTGTTCATTGTTGGTTACTTAGGTGAATAGGTTATGAATTCCAAAAATTGATGTTTTGTTTCATTCACCCCTTTTACATCTATTCTCCCCCAACTGAAAGTTTGATGTGTTGAATAGCTATTTGAATTTGATGTTTTATAACTTTTCTTTCTTTCTATGGTTTTCTTCCAGCTCAATTTGACTTGTGACTGGAACAATTACATTATTTCCAAATAATAGTAGCTTATTAATCTAGAAGGGGAATTCTTACTTGAATATTTTATGGTGGCAATGTGGTTTTGATTAGTATGAAAGGAGACCTTGTGCAGGAGATACAACTCTGTATAAGCGGTGCTAAAAGCTCAAATGTGCAATCTTAGGAAAAGTTTCTACGTTTCAATTGTGAGTATTGTCTTTGAGATGTGAATATAGATGCCAGTTGCGTAAAGGAGACTGTACTGAACTACAAAAGTAAAAGATACCAAAATCTTGTTTCTTATAGTCATATTGTCTAGTCCTATTCAATACCGAGTACTAAACATCCTCCGAGAGTCCTTGTAGTTAGCATGTAAAATGAGAGAAATGGTCTAATATACAAATTGGTGGCTCAGAGTAACAATATCAGCAGTGAAATCAAGAAAAGGGTAAGCATATTTTCTTGAAAGATCCTATTTTGCCCTTATCTCCTTGAATTTGATAATCTCATATAGATCTTGAGTAGATTGAGCATTACCAGAGTCATGATACCTTAAAGACTTAAACTGTGAATCTATTCTTCACCCAGAAGCATTTCATGTGCTACTAGATAGTAAATTTTTTGTCAAAAGATGAGAAGTAGCATACAAAGTAGAAGTTTTCATCATGTTGGTTTTTCTTCGTCATTAATGTATACAATCTTACGGCAGACAATGAATTCGCTTCCACAAATGCTACAAACATTGACCAAGTCAGTTTGTCAAACTAGTTCCAGTCATTGTGCACTCAAGTGATCTCATTTTTCATTAACTTCACACAACCTTTTTGGGTTCTTTATTGACCATCAAGAATAAAACTCCATAAATTATGTTAAATTTGAAAGATGGCAAACCATTGGTTGGCATTGTTACTAACACTTTGTGTGCAAATGTCTACAGCCCAGTCCTTGATAATTTTCCATCATCCTGTTCAAAGTTAGATGTAATTATTCATTTTCTTCGAAGCTTGTTATTGTCTAACTTCTAATCTACGATTTCACCAGGTTGTCAGAGCAAAAAAGAAAGACACTGGAAATGTCTATGCCATGAAGGTCATGGATAAAAAGTTCATCACCAAGGAAAATAAAACTGCTTATGTAAAATTGGAACGCATTGTATTAGATCAGTTAGATCATCCGGGGGTAGTGAGATTGTTTTTTACATTTCAAGATAGTTGTTCTCTTTGTAAGTCTTCTTGTCACATTACTCCGATGTTCTTTTGTTAAGTTGGCTGAATTTATTTGGACATGAGCATAACATGTTCCTGCATTTTATTGTATTTTGAAGACATGGGACTTGAATCTTGTGAAGGTGGAGAACTTTTCGATCAGATAACCAGGGTAAGTAGAATATGACAATTTCGAAGCATTTATTTGTTTCTCTAGCAGTATATTGTCAAAAGTTTTAGGGTGAATGCATCATGAAAGTTGTCTTTGGATTCGTAACTATTTATTTACCAATGTTCTCTTAGTTTTATAAGAAATGAATAGAAGAGAAGAAATTGGGAAAGGGGAAAATGAAATGGAAAATTGGAAGTTGGATCCCCCCCCCCC